ATGTGTCGAAGCTGGCAGCTCAGAGAATTTCTCAACAAATATCATGCACAAATGATTGGACTCGATGAAGATGAACTCAAGGAAGGGGAGAATCATAAAGAAAATCCCAAGGCACCAGAACGAGCTAAAGAAAAATGGGAAATTGTTAGAATCAAAGCCCCCTTCCTAGAAGAAATCTGAGAGAAAATTTGGCGACAACCAGAGAAAATCAAGAAGTTCAGTGAATTAAAGATGCGAGGAATCAATCACTTGAAAGGAAAATACCGAGGAGGAAATCTATACATGCTAGGACACAGGTCCACAGGGGAACGAAGACAAGTTCTAAATCATAATCTTGCAACAAGTGGATGTCCTATATCAAAAATCCTGGAGATCACAGAAGATTACTTGGAGACGATTAAGTTTCTGATCTTTCGTCTACGACGTACTGATGACTCAGAGTTCACCTGTCAAGAGAATGACTTCTTCCTACTACACATGGATGACATTTATCAAATGTTCATGAGATGCAGGGAGCTCCCAGTTCACAAAGACAGACTTGCTAGAGAAGGTTTCGAGGCCATAAAAAGATTCATGACAAGACAAGTTCGGTTCTACGCCTCCCATGATCTCCAGATGACTCTAGAGCACAATTATTCAAAGGCAAATCTTACACGACCGGACTTGGATAGACCTGGGCTTGAATCCTTTACAGCATATTATACATTTGACAAGCCCATCTCAGTCATCTATCTGAATCACAAAGAAGAGAAGCGCCTGATGATTGTTGAAGACATTCAAAAATACTGTGACGGGACTCTGAAAATCATCCGGGAACAGCTGCAACCAAGGAAAGAAGAGCTAGATAAAAGACAGTTTGAAGCCTCAAAGGAAGAAATCAAGGAATTGGAAAGAGTTGATAAAATCTTGAAAGCCATTGAGAAACAACTTGACAGAAGAAGGTCACTCAGAAACTACGAGCATGCACTCAATCTCAGAAAGCATTATTATAAAGCTCAGAAGTGAAGAATAAAAGAAGCAAGAACATCTGATCACAAAGGGGGAGATTGTTAGAGATATTTTCATTATATTGTGATCAATGTTACTTATGCTTTTGTAGTTAGTTCAAATAAATAAATAGACTAGCTAGAATAATGAATAGGCCTTTTAAGGCAATTTGTAATAAAGGCTCTCATGCCTTTTTAGGTATGGGCCTCCTAGAAAAAGGAGCCCAAATGATTGTAAAACCTACCTTTCCCGTCAGGCTATATATATGCCTTAAGGGAAAGGCTAGGTTAAGCTTTTCAAATATTCTCATTCCCTATGCCGCAGTGCCTATTTCGGTGATAGAAGTTTTACGCTAAGTTTCATATCATTCTGTAAACTTCTTCATCATTCAATGGAAAGCTTCATTCCCAGATCTGTCTTCCATACATACATATTCTAGACTAGAAAACAGGGACCTAACAGTGATGTAGCCCATCCATGGTTCAAGGCGTAGCCCGAAGAATCGTTAGGATGGAGTTTATCAATGAATCGACTGGGTCAACTCATTGATAAGCTCCAACCGGTTGATTTTTCGGTCGACTGTGTCAACTCCTTGATAATTATATTATTTGTTTATTAGCAATTATTGGACCCTGATATTAAGCTTATACCCAGTTTAATATGTTATATACATTTACAATTGATAATACTTACATAAAAATTTGATCTTCTATTATAAGCATTCTAACAAAAAACAAAATAAATTAATATATTTTAGATGAGCAACGAACAATCGACCTCGTCTCCCCGCCCGTACTATGCGCCCATGACCGAAGCGGAGCGCAACAACGAAAGAGCTGTTTGGGTGACCCCTGCAGAAGTTGCTTTGTAAGTTGTTATGAACAAACCTTATTTTCAATAATTTTATATAATGTTAAATAATCTAACCAAATCTTATATAAATAAATACTATTAATTTTTTTAAGTGACAAAGAAGTGTTCGAAGGCATCAAAAACATAATCGGAGAACACTTTCTTGGCACTTGGGCCGCGTACTCGGATGTTGACCCCAAGGTCCGCGAACTATGGTGGAACCTGTTCAAGGTAAAAATAAATGAATGTTCCCTCCCTAATTGTATTGGCGTAATATATACCTAGTGATTAATTAATCCAATTTGTTTTAATAAAGGCTCGCTATCGTTGGACTCACGCAAACGGTGCCGATATTCTTAGAGCCTACAATGCTAGGATTTCGGCCTGGCTTCGCGCCACTTTTAAGTGTGCCCGAAAAAGTGCGAAAAAGCCTAAATGGGTTTCGGATGAAGTGTGGTCCAACCTTTGTCTCCACTGGTCTTCTGATCCGAAATTCTTGGCCAGAAGTGAATCCGGTAAGAAAAAACGGATGTCCGAGAATGCCTTGGAGACGCAGTGGCACGGGGGTCGCAAATCTCAGAATGCCCATAAAGAAACTCTTGTAAGTGCTATTAAAAAAACCTTACACCATCACAATCCTTCATTATAAAAAATTTACTTAAGTCTTTTTCACACCATTTAGGCTGGTCCTGAGAAGAAGATGGTTGGAATTCTCCGGCTCGTCAAGCATTGCTGGACGAAGCACGGCAAGGAGTCGGAAGCCGATCTGCCACCCCGCCTCGCTGACTTCGAAGTATGTAACATCATATTTTGTTATTTAGTAACATTTCAAATCTAAGTATGTAACATTTAAAAAAATATTTTTTTAAATGCAGATGAAGTACAACGAATCCGTTGACAGGCAGCGTGCGGCGCGAGGCTTGACCCAAGAGGACGACCTCGATTCCGATGCGGATGATGAGGCGGCCATTGAGGCGGCCGGGGTTTACAAGGGCCGGGTTCCGTGCTTGGGGGCCGAGGGGCAACGGATTTTGTATGATCGAAGCACCGACGCTTCCTCTTCTCGGTCAAGGCGGGGAGAAGATCCTCGTATTGCTACAATGCAGCGTGAACTGGAGGAGCACGAACGGCGATGGGAGGAGCAGCGGAAAGCAGATGAGGCCACAAAAGCCCGGCTGGAGGAGATGGAACGGTTCATGCGTGCCGGATTCCAGCCTCCGCACCAGCCTTTTTCTCCCCCGTACGTATTCCACCCTGAGCAAACTCCTCAAGTTCCGCACATGGGCAGTATGGGTTTTTCTCCAACTCCGGATACGGTGTCACGCCTACGATGGGTCCGAATTTCGGATCTATCTCCCTCGATTTTTTGAGGTCATCCGGAGGAGGTAGTGGTCCACCGAGCCATTGACCCCGAGGAGCACCCTGAGGAGGACCCCGAGGAGGAACCCGACCCGAAGACCCCGTGCAACAGCCCGAAGACCCCCCCATGAACCCAGAAGAGTTTCTTATTGATGATGATGATGATGATGCTGAAGATCCTAATTTTTATCATAATGGAGTCCGAAGATGAACGGACATGTAATGATACATTTAACGTTTAGTATTTCGTATTACATTGAAAAGTTAGTCATAAATATCTATTTAGTTTGTTGTACGTGTTTTTTTTAATGTTTTATTTTTGCTTTACTGTCGTTTAAAATGTAATTATTTCTTTAAAAAAATTAGAATAATATTTTTAATAAAGAAAATTTTAAAGATAATTGTTAATATTTTTTGAAATAAAATAATTTTATAAATAAATTATATTATTATTTTAATATAAGTTTATTATAAATAAAATTATATATGTAATATGTAAAAACATCTGTTTTAAAAAACCCGAGTTTTTTTTAAAAATAAATTAAATTAGTCACGGCCATAATCCGTGACTAAAGATTTTTTTAAAAAAATAAATTAAACTAGTCACGGCTACATGTCCGTGACTAATTAAAATTTTCAACACAGGATAGCACAACCGCGGGCGGGCTTATGAAAATTTTGAAAAATTCAAAACTTAGTCACGGCTGAAACCGTGACTAAGATGGCGGATTTTTTAAAAACCGGATTTAATTAGTCACGGATTAGGCCGTGACTAATATTTAAAAAAAAAAGAATTTAAAAGTCACGACTGTGGGCCGTGACTAACACGTCGGAATAGGTTCTTCGGCGTAAAAGTAGTCACGGCCAACGACCGTGACTAGTCCGTGACTACAATTAGTCACGGCCAAGTGGCGGTGACTGCATTTAGTCACGCCAAATAAGACACGGATTTAGTCACGGCTGATGACCGTGACTAACCTTTTTAGTCACGGAATTTTTACACTGCAGTCCGTGACTAAATCTGTGACTACGCCCGTGTTTTTTTGTAGTGTTTGGTAGCATGAAAATCGACTGATTTGGCTGATTATGCTGAAATTTCTGAAGTTCTGGCTGAAGTGGCTGTATTGGCTGATTCTCTTGATTTAAGAAAAAACTATTTTTAAAATATATTTTATTAATAATATAAAGAAAAAATTATATGTAAAAAAGCTAAAATGATCATATACAATAACTTCAGCCAATACAGCCAGAAAAGTAACTTCAACCTTACTTTTTCTGCTTATTACACAATTCAGCGCGCGAAAGCAAAAGTTACGTGTTTGGTGAAAAAGCTGGCTGATAAGCCTGATAAGCCGAAAAAAAGTGTTGTCAAACGGTACCTAAATGTTCATTATATGAATTCCTAGTATATATAAGTAACCAACTTAAGTATGCTTTTATATGGGTAATAATTAATTAATTGAATGGAGAAAATAGCACCAGGATAAGTATCATATATGTAAGCTAGTACTATAACTAGTTGAGAAATAAAAACTTGTTAGCGGAGAATCATTGCAATTTTAATCTTGTAATTTTTGGTTGTGCCGTTATTTGGGCTGAGTTGGAAAAAATAATAAATCTTCAATTTAATGACTAATAGATATGAACCATTTGGTCCTGTAACTAATAAATCTATGCAATTTAATGACTTTTCCACCAACTTTTTCAATGATTTTACAGCCTGAAAGTGGAATTTCTGGTGAAAAAGTCCTTAAACTGCAAAGAATTGTTGGTTAGAGACTAAATCTGCAATCGAGTAAAGTTACAAAACTAATTAATAACATGTACAACTGAAATTAACTGAAATTAAAGTTAAAATTGTAATTCTCATATTACTAACAACTTTCTCAAAACACATACATCACGAAAAGAATACCAAATAATAAAAAAACAGAAGTAAGTTCTTAAAGTGATAAAGAAAACTTTATGAACTAAAAGATCACCTCCATTTCCTCTCAAAAAAAAAAAGATCACCTCCATTAAGCCAAAGAATAAGAGGCTTGGTGTCAGGACTGTCAACAGATTCAACAAAGTAATAGAAAAGGCTTCTGCCATTCCTTTTGTCCACATTCACATAGCCTCCAATCCCTCCATATTGCTTGAAACTTGATGGAGGCTGCCCGGGAAGGCCGCCCAGAATCAGATCTTCTTCTTTTGTTCTTCTCTCCACTTCTGAAAAGGATTCCATATCTTCATCGCCTTCCTCTACATCTGTAAAATTTGCCTCTGCCCATGGCTTAGAATTCTCAAAGAAGTGTTGAGGATACATTTTAGCATGCTGCAATGACATTAGCATCCGGACTTGATCTCTTTTATTTTCACCATGTCCGAATTCAAAGAGTGTTACTATGACAAGGATAATTGATAATACATGTAGTTTTGTGAATAATGAGTCTTGTTGTTTCTTCTCCATGGATGAATTGTTAAAGAAATATGATAGTATGAGTCCTTGGAGTGACAGCTCTTCTCTAATAGTACAAAAGCTCCGCCACTTAGAGTGGCGGCTCTTAGGCCCAGTAGTTACCACACCAGTTTATTCAACTGAAAAACACACACAAAAACTTGCTCAATATTGTACAATCAACTCAAAACATCAAACAACTGCTATTTATAATCAATATAGAGCACTAAAACACAAAATATATCCGAAACACACAACGAGTCTATGAATTACATTTGATCACAATACTAGAAATATCACATAAAATTGTTAATAAATCCAATGTTTTAAAAAATAATTCGATCAGCTAGTTCATGTTTATAACAATAATGTAAAATACAAATATCACAATTCAACGTGATCATCATCATAAACCTCATGTGGATGTGCTTGTGCCTAAGGTCGGGGGCGTGTACGCTAATTACGAGGCTGAAGAATCAATCCATCACGTCGTAGTGCATGAGAAGACCATGCTGTGAATGTAGATGTTGTGGAATACTGAGAAGCGGACACATATCCATGGATAGTATGCAAAGCCCATGTCTGTAATGGTTATTAGTGATATAACATGAATAAATAAATAAATAAATAAATAAATAAATAAATAAATAAATAAATAAATAAATAAATAAATAAATAAATAAATAAATAAATAAATAAATAAATAAATAAATAAATAAATAAATAAATAAATAAATAAATAAATAAATAAATAAATAAATAAATAAATAAATAAATAAATAAATAAATAAATAAATAAATAAATAAATAAATAAATAAATAAATAAATAAATAAATAAATAAATAAATAAATAAATAAATAAATAAATAAATAAATAAATAAATAAATAAATAAATAAATAAATAAATAAATAAATAAATAAATAAATAAATAAATAAATAAATAAATAAATAAATAAATAAATAAATAAATAAATAAAAAAATAAATAAATAAATAAAAAAATAAATAAAAAAATAAATAAAAAAATAAATAAATAAATAAATAAATAAATAAATAAATAAATAAATAAATAAATAAATAAATAAATAAATAAATAAATAAATAAATAAATAAATAAATAAATAAATAAATAAATAAATAAATAAATAAATAAATAAATAAATAAATAAATAAATAAATAAATAAATAAATAAATAAATAAATAAAGTCGTTCATGTGAATATATTGTGTACCGTCAAATGAAGAACGACTGAGCTAGGCTATTAATGACCGGTGGGTAGACGAAAACTGGGAGAGATGAACACATGTGTGATGGTGTGATACCATCTCATGTAATCTGCAGACTGTGGTGTATCCCCCAATCTTTTGGGGTCCTGTCCACTATATATGTCGCTCTGTCATCCCACATGGTGATAGACTGAATATGGTGCATCCCCAATCTTTTGTGTGCTTCCCTCGTTTGTCGATCTTGTGTAAGTCCACAGAAGTATCACAAGGTAAGAGATCACCCTGTTGTAACCTGAACTGTCGTAGTATGCGATTAAGAAAGTGATGCTCTTCTATATCTAAACAAATCAAGGGCACATGTGATCGCCATGTCTTAGTGTGCTCTCGGCCAACAGAGGGCACCTATCATAGAATCTCATGAGTGTATGACATCCATGTCATCTATAATACAAAATATTATGACATCATTGTTTATAAAAATGTAAAACAAAGTAGTTAGAGTTAATGGTATACAGGGTAATACCTGATCATCACACATGCCATTTAATGCATCTCGATAGTACCTTAACTCGGTAGCGGATGACGTGCGACTGACATCAACAAAATGCCATCTGACACACAGTAATTTACAAGAATATTAAATGGATTCCAGTACGGCATACGTAAAATAAAATAAATATTAAACAAAATTCATAAACATACCTACAACCTAAAGGATACTCACCATGAACATGTTGTGGTCCAAGTACAGATCGATCATGCAGATCCAAAGCATCATGAAGAGGACCACCATCTATCTCATAATATCGTAGTATGTCAAATCTACCAATATGAATGTGCTCCCACGACCATAGCTATATGAGCAATAAAAACCACCCATCACGCCACCGCAACAATGGCAACCTTCCCTCGACACAACTGCCGATATAGGTATTCTAAGGTCACATTTCCCCAACTATATAGCACTGCTACACATCAAAAGTCTCCTGAAGGGGTAATAAAGAACTTGCACCTCATTACCTCTCTTGACCGCAAATGTAAAGGCTCCCATGAGCATCAATATGTAGGCTGTCGTGTACTGCTGCACAACAACGTCATCAGCATCAGCGGGTAAAGCATAAAAATGTGGTCTCAACCAAGGCATCCTCAAGGTGGACCCCCCGAATATCTGCCCCAGGTTGTGGTCGTACTCCCAGCAATCTCTGTGCCTGGCACAAGCAATCAGCACAAACGCTCCCGACATCAAGCACAAGCACAGCCACATGAGCTTTATGATGATGATCACGTTGACTTGTGATATTTGTACTTTACATCATTGTGTTAAACATGAACTAGCTGATCGAATTATTTTTTGAAACATTGGATTTATTATCAACTTTATGTAATATTTCTAGTATTGTGATCCAATGTAGTTCATTGACACGTTTTGTGTGTCAGGTATGTTTTGTTTTTTAGTGCACTATATTGACTATAAATAGCAGGTTTTTGTGTTTTTTTCGGTTGAATAAGTTGGCGTTTTACTGCAAGAGAAGAACCATCACTCCAAATGAAGTTTTTGTACTGTAAGAGAAGAGTCGTCACTTGAAGTGGCGGCTTTTGTACTATTATAGAAGCGCCACCACTTCGAGTGGGGGCTTTCCTTAACCATAATTAACTCTAGCAGTATTTTAAAAATTATTTATTTAATTAGCATTGTTTCAGGAAAAAACTCATAATTACAGATAATTTTTCATACATTATGGCACATTCTTAAATTGTAAATCACTATACACATACACTATAGTGAATTTTGAGAAAGCATGGGTGGGCTCCACAGGGACGCACAAAAGGGGAATAAAAATTAACTAAATTCAGCGATTAAAAAAAGAAAATAAAATAAAAAACAATTGTGCGAGATGAATGGTTGAGATGATTTGAAATTAAACTAATGCGAATGAACAATTAAATAAAAGTTTGGTTTTCTCTCTAATTAACGACGAAGGGAACAGGGATTGATTCTGGGGTAACCAAATTTCTGGCAGATCAGGCCTAATTACATGAATTTAATTTAATTGAATCTAGCTAATCATTACTAAGTTCTTACCGCTCTCGCAGCGTAGAGTACAATAATTTAGGAGACCACGCTAATCTCTCATGCGACAGGAATCCTAAATTATTGTCAAGACGAGCGAGCTTACGGCCCCTTAATCGCTACTAATCTTTTAGTGAACGATTAAGTGTGGGTGAATGTGTCCTAGAACAAATTAGATCTCTCTTAATTCATTCTACGTAGGGTGCAATTGTAATTCTAGCTGCAGTCTAGGTTATAAGAGATATCAATTAAATTACTCAAACACAAAGAAAACGACATTCATGCAATAAACCATCAATATTCTAGCCATACATGCATCATGATCAACCCCATCATCAATCCCAAATCCCTAATTAAACTACTCAAAATTGTAATTCTAGTTGCAGTCTAGGTTACAAGAGATATCAATTAAATTACTCAAACACAAAGTAATAGACATTCATGCAATTAAACCATCAAGAATCTAGCCATACATCATGATCAACCCCTTCATCAACCCCAAATCCCTAATTAAACTACTCACAATTCATAATTGAAGAATCAACAGAATTAGGATGAATAGAAATAATTGTCATTAATTAAAAAGATGAACTTACAAATAATCTCAGGGTCTTAGAGTAAACAATGATAAAAACGCAAGTAATTTCGTCCATGGGCCTCTCCGTAATGTTCGTAACTCTTAAACAGGAGAAGGGAGACCTTATTTATAGAAAACAGATTAGTTTGGGCTGAACTGGGACTAAAACGGGGCTGAAATCCGCGTTTCGGGTGCACGCACGATCGTGCGACCCCTTCCATGCACAATCGTGCGTGGCTGGCAGTAGCCTCCTTGCTTTCTCACCTCGGACGCACGATCGTGCGTTCCCCTACGCACGCCGTGCATCAAACTCCTTGCTTCGGGTGCACGCACGATCGTGCGTCCCCTTCTCAAGCTTTGCGTCTTTCGTTAGTTTCTAACATACACAAGGAATCTGTCGCTCTAGGCGATTCCTTTGCTTCAGCGTTGGCGCTTTGTTTTATTAATTTTGCAGGTATAGCTTTTGTTTCGGCTGTGTGGGTTACTAGAAATATACCGCAGTGTTGCAGTGATTCTGTCGAGTGAGTCACGCACAATCCGGACGGGTTATGGTCAAGACGGAGATAGAGGAGATGGTCAACAAATGTGATAACATGGTTCTCGAGGGTGCTGAGGATGATTTGGTTCTGGACGAGGAGGTAGCGGGCGAGGAAGAGGCTTTGAACAGGAGCCTACGGGAGAAAGAAGATGAAGAGATGTTGATTCGTCCCCCTCCCAAACCGCCGCAATGGAAGAATTGTGCGACCTACATGTTGTTTTACGACTATTTCTATTTCTGTTTTACTAAGTTTGTGTTTTTACTTCGAACTACATGTTATTTTGTCTATTATGTACGCTTATTTTTGTCAGACTCTTGCATTAGGTTGGAGCGATGAGGGGTTTAGTCTAACCATGTTAGGCTCATTTAGATCCATTACAGGATCAGTGAGTCATATTGAATTTTTCTGGGTGATTGACTCTAAGGCTGGTTCGAGGGTCTATGGTTGGAAGTGGTCCTTTTATCTTCTTATTCCCTGGCTGTATGCTTTGATATCAATTTAAGCCGCCTTGTTCCGGACAAAAAACATATGTTTTAACAATATTATTCAATCAAATGAAACTATTTAGTTTTTGAATGACAGACAAAAAATGAGAAGAAACTGCTATGATCGATGAATGACAAAAACGAAGAGTATCATAAATTACTGAATTGAAAAATAAAAAAGTTTATAAAATGATAGACGTAAGAAAATATGTCCCTATAGGGGTTAAGATTAAATCATACTCCGTATTTAATTATTTAGAATCCAGGATATGTGCGCTTAATGATTTCACAGAGACTGATTTTCTCATCTAATTAGTGGATGTCTTATTGACTTATCCCATGGCTAATTTTTCAAAGATTCTCGGTAGTGCTCCACATTGACATAATCTTCTTTTCTTTTCTTGTTTTTTTCGATGATGCTAGAAACTCTACTCATTGTTTAATAGTGTATTAGATGAATCGAGTCTCATGGTTATAATAGGCAAAGGACAATAATTACTTGAAATAATGATATGATAGGAATGTTTATAATTTTAGTGACTTTAATTGAGTGACCATTATATGAAATTTATTAAAAGTAGTTGCTCTAAATAGAACTATAACATAGATAAAAAGTCAAATTAAGACTTGATATGTTTTATTCCTAATATAGGTGGGAGTAGCACTTATTGAAGACAAGATGCGGAGGTCGCTCCTACGGTGATTTCGTCATGTGCATAGGAGACCGAGTGATGCACCTGTCAGACGAGTTGAGATGTGTGGAGAAGTGGCAAGGAAGAGCGGGAGAGGAAGGCCCAAACAGACGTGGGTTAGTGGAGTCCGAAGTGATATGCTTCTTGTTGGGTTGGATGAGGGTATGGCTTTGGAGAGAGCAAAGTGGAAGGCGGGGGTATTCGTGTGGATGAGTGATCTCGTATTATCTTTTCCCCTCATCTTTTTTTCATGTTTTTATTTCTTGTTTTTTATCCTTTTATCCTTATATATATAATGATTTTTTTATCCTTTTTATTTTATCATTTTTAGGTATATTCATCTCTTTTTACATTATCTTTTTTATCTTTATTTTGTTTCTTTTCCTTTTGGTGGTGATATCATGCATCGATTCATGTTAGCTGACCCCAATATCTTTTGGGACTAAGCCTTGGATGTTGTTGTTGTTGTTGTTGTATAGGAGTCATTCGTTCATATTGTTAAGATCCGAGATTCCATCCTAAAAGGTCAATCCTGTTAGGATGAATAGCTCACATCTTAATATAGTAATCTATGACTTCTTAATTTTACCGGTGTGTGACTTTAACACTCCTCCTCGCGATCATTTACTTCGTTTGAATCGTGTAGTCATTCATTTTTTTCATGAGTTAGTCATTGTCATTTTTTAATAATAATCATCCTCATTTTTCATAAGGGGCCCACCCCGCGTTTATGGAGATGACAATTGCATATATAAAAACATGATAGTCATTGAAAAAGTCAAACGGATTTCCTAATTTTAGGATTTCCTAAATTGTTGCTAACTCCTTTCCTTTTTCTCTAAATTTTAATTGGGTAAGGTCTTGTGTCCCCCCATTTTCTTTTTGCTTTCGCATGTACGTTGTCACTTGTTCTTTCTTACTTCTTACGTTTCTCGATATTTTCCCCACTGATTTTGGTGGTTTGTCTTCTGGGTTAAAAAAAGATACAAAGTATGTCATCTTGATAAATGTAATGTCAAGACAGTGACATTTTCTCAAATCACCGTTCAATAACATAGCAATTATGGCATTTTCAGGTCCAAATGGTGAGAGAAACAGTATGAATGATTTCAAGTGAAATATTAGATGAAATTTCAAAAAAGAAAATAGATTAACGATGGAAGAAAGAAAATAGAGAAGCTTGAAAGGAGAAGGGGAGGAAGATCGAACAAGAAGAGGAGGAAGATCGAGCTTGTCTGGGAAAGTAGCAGAGGCAAACTTTGCAGAATAAGCATCCTTTAGCGCAAGCTTCGCAAGTCGCGAACGGAAGAATAGTGGCTTTAATTTGCAAGGCAATTTTGGTATTCCACCTATATTTTAATCCTATGCCGGTATTACACGGAAAAGTGATAGTCCTACGAAGGAATTTTTCATAACTTTTTTTAGTCCTATTTAATTAGGTATATCTCTCCTTTTATAATCATGATTGTAATCAATTATACGAAGTATTCTATTCTACATTATAGTGACTATGTATAGTAAGTTAGTAACTATAATAATATTTTGGCCATGAAATATATTTTCATTGACATTTAAACTTCCATGGGACTACATTAACATCTTTCTTTTTATTTTTGAAAAAACACTATTTAATTATTATTAATCATGTCATGGTTGAAGAAAACATTAATACAAGATGGAAAACATTAATGCATAGAAGCACCAGCCCTACCAAGATCATGGGTCGTCCAATTCACAGACGGTCTCACATGAGAGAATGAACAGTACAAAAAAATACGGGATTGACAGGGATTTTGGCATGGATTTGACACAGATTTTGGCAAGGATACGCCAAATCCGTGCCAAAAACACTTTGGCACGAGCTATTTGGCACGAAAAATTGATAAGTCCGTGCCAAATTTCATATCAATCCCGCCTTATTTTGCAGTGGAACTAGATAAATATCTCTTATATTATCAATAACAAGACTCATCGACGAGACGTCCGCTCCAAATTTTAAGCGAGTTATAACTTGAAAAGCATCTGACTCAACTTCAACCGCCCGCATTCTTGAGCAACTCAGTGCCTCTCTCATGGACAGAGCCTCGGCCACCTTGGATTAGAACATCGATCGGACTCAAAAATCGGGCACTTCAAGTAGAAATACTACGTAGTGTGTTGTACCATACTATATAAAAAATTATTACGTAATATTTTTCATACAAGTCGATCGAGCGATCCAATTTTCATATTCAAGAATTAAAACAAGCACGTCAATCTAATTATTTAACGAAAATTAGTGTATAAGAACCAATTAAGCAAAGAGCCAAACGTGTTTTCTCCTATATCCACGCCAAAGGAGATAAACAAATATTCAACATGAAAAGGAAATGTAAATGCGAGTGGAAACAAAGTTCTAAAATCCGTCATAAATTAGGTGATGAAAACAATATATTAAGCCATGCGTTCAGCAAGCAAACGATGAGGAATTGAATCTAATGTTTGTGATTGGCGAGGAAGGTGTTGAGCAAAGCAAACGCACTCTGCGGTTTATTCTTCGGAACTTCGTGGCCAGACCCTTTCACCGTGGCAAAAGTTAGACCTTCATAAATCACTTGGTATCCGGCAGTCACCTGCATGCATGCAAAAATAATAATTAAACACCATTCTGAAAATATTTTACATAAGGAGTGTTGGTTGAAGAATAATAGACTTCAATAATAACACAATAATTTTGTCATATACAAATATATATATATATATATATATATATACATATATATATATATAGAGTAATGATCCGGTCAGGAGCTCCTGACCGGAACCGCCGTCCGGACCGCGGCGTTTGGCCGCCTTCCCGGTGGCTTTTTTTGATGAACTTTTTATGGCATGTTCTTCATCAAGTCTAGTTTATCCACAAACAAATTCAGCCAAAAACTCAATCCGGAAGGTCGTCAAATGATTTTTGCAAGTTAACTGGTCCGGAAAATACATATTCCGGACCAGTTAACTTGCGAAAATCATTTGACGACCTTCCCGATTGAGTTTTTGGCTGAATTTTTGTGTGGATAAACTAGACTTGATGAAGAACATGCCATAAAAATTTCATCAAAAAATTCCACCGGGAAGGCGGCCAAACGCCGCGGTCCGTACGGCGGTTCCTGTCCGGACGTCCGGACAGGAATATTTGTGTGTGTATATATATATATATATATATATATATATATATATATATATATAGGGAAGAGTTCAAATAAAAAGTGATCTTCCCGTGCAAAGTACAAAGTTTCACTTTTGCATGGTTCGCTTGCACTTTTGCTTGTTTCCGCTGCACTTTTGCACAATTGTGAATTTTGTCAAAACCGGCCAAAATGACGGTGGCAATTTTGAAAATAACTCGGTTTTTTTTCGCTCCAGCGAAAAAGTGCAACAAGAACAAGAAAACGTGCAAGCGAAACATGCAAAAGTGAAAACTTTGTACTTTGCACGGGAAGACCACTTTTTATTTGAACTCTTCCCTATATATATATATATATATATATATATATATATATATATATATATATATATATATATATATATATATATATATATGAGAGCTCTTCTCATCAGGCCGGCCTGACGGGCTGCCCCGTCCGGCCGAGCCCGTTTGGGCACCTTCCCGGTGGAATTTTTTGATGAAATTTTTTGAGCATGTTCCTCATTAAGTCTAGTTTGTCCATATCAAATTTCAGCTCAAAATTCAATCGGGAAGGTCGTCAAATGATTTTTGCAAGTTAACTGGTCCGGAATATGTATTTTCCGGACCAGTTAACTTGCAAAAATCATTTGACGACCTTCCCGATCGAATTTTGAGCTGAAATTTGGTATGGACAAACTAGACTTGATGAGGAACATGCTCACAAAATTTCATCAAAAAATTCCACCGGGAAGGTGTCCAAAAGGGCTCGGCCGGACGGGGCAGCCCGTCAGGCCGGCCTGACATGAAGTTTCATCTATATATATATAGATGAAACTATATATATATATACACAACTATTCAGGTCCGGCCAGGCCGGACCAATTCCCCCGTCCGGCCTCCTCCATTTGGGGGTCTTCCGGGTGGTATTTTTTGCTCAAATTTTTTGTGTAGGTTCCTCATCAAGTCTAGTTTATCCATACCAAATTTCAGCCAAAAATTCAATCGGGAAGGTCGTCAAATGATTTTTGCAAGTTAACTGGTCCGGAATATGTATTTTCCGGACCAGTTAACTTGCAAAAATCATTTGACGACCTTCCCGATTGAATTTTTGGCTGAAATTTGGTATGGATGAACTAGACTTGATAAGGAACCTACACAAAAAATTTGAGCAAAAAATACCACCGGGAAGGCCCCCAAATGGAGGAGGCCGGACGGGGCTCCGGTCAGGTATACCTGACCGGAAGACTACTCTATATATATATATATATATATATAGAGAGAGAGAGAGAGAGAGAGTAGTCTTCTTGTCCAGCCGGCCTGACGGGAACCGCCGTCCGGCCGAGGGCATTTCGGGCACTTCCCGATGGAATTTTTTGATCAAATTTTTTTAGCATGTTCTTCATGAAGTCTAGTTTATCCATACCAAATTTCAGCTCAAAATTCGACCGGGAAGGCATTCAAATAATTTTGTGAAGTTAACTGGGCAGTTTATATGTATGAACTGCTCAGTTAACTTCACAAAATTATTTGAATGCCTTACCGATCGAATTTTGAGCTGAAATTTGGTATGGATAAACTAGACTTCATGAAGAACATGCTCAAAAAATTTCATCAAAAAGTTCCATCGGGAAGTGCCCGAAATGCCCTCGGCCGGACGGCGGTTCCCTTCAGGCCGGCTGGACATGAAAAGTCCTCTCTCTCTCTCTCTCTCTCTCTCTCTCTCTCTCTCTCTCTCTCTCTCTCTCTCTCTCTCTCTCTCTCTCTATATATATATATATATATATATATATATATATATATATATATATATATATAGTGGGGGATCCAGGATTCAAAGCTATTGGGGGCAGAGTAGGGATGGACCGGGTCTGGGCGGCCCGACCTAGTACCAACCCGTGACCAGTACGGTTAGGATTGGCCCGGGTACCAGTTTTCCGGTACCGGTACCGGCCCGCTACACAGACTAACCTAGAAACGGGGCGGGCTCGTGCTTGATTTTTTGGGACGGGACCGGCCGGTCCCAATGGATATATTTTTTATTTTTTAATTAGAGGATGGGTACTGACCTGGGACCAGTACTGTTTGGACCCAGACCAGAACCAAACCGGGTCGATACCGGGCTTCAATTATTTAGAATCTGGATCGATCGGACCCGGGCCCAGGACCGACCCGACCTCACGCCTTGGGAAGAGTAAGATAACATACTTAAAGACAGTACAAAACAAAAAGACAATAAAATATATCCAAATCCAAAAGGGGATTTTACATTAAAAATTATTAAAGTAAAACTTATTTACACAAATATGACAATTAGTTACTACAATGTAGTCTCATAGTAAGTCAAGTTTAAATTTAAAATAAGTTACTATTTTAAGTATTTAAGTTACTATTTCAAAATTTAATATAATTCTAATAAATTGTATTTAATATTTAAATTACGATTAGTGCACATACATTAATATTTATTAAATTTGATTAGTGGTCGGAGAATCCAATGTGAATATATATGATATTTAAAAGATGTGTAAATAAATCCTTAAATAAACTTGAAATAGTAACTTATTTTAAATTTTAAAAACATAAATATAAAAACACAGTCAACTTCAAAAAATGATTTGAATGTCTTCCCGATCGAATTTTGAGCTGAAATTTGGTATGGATAAACTAGACTTGATGAAGAACATACCCACAAAATTTCATCAAAAAATTCCACCGGGAACCACCCCAAACGTCAAAGTTCGGACGGCAGCTCCCGTCCCTCCGGCTGGACCTGAGCCGTCCTCTACATACATATATATATATATGTATGTATATATATATATATATATATACACTAAAGTTCAGGTCCGGCCAGGCCGGACCACTCCCCCCGTCCGGCCTCCTCCATTTGGGGGCCTTCCCGATGGTATTTTTCGCTCAAATTTTTTGTGTAGGTTCCTCATCAAGTCTAGTTCATCCATACCAAATTTCAGAAAAAAATTCAATCGGGAAGGTTGTCAAATGATTTTTGCAAGTTAACTGGTCCGGAATATGTATTTTCCGGACCAGTTAACTTGCAAAAATCATTTGACGACCTTCCCGATTGAATTTTTGGCTGAAATTTGGTATGGATGAACTAGACTTGATGAGGAACCTACACAAAAAATTTGAGCAAAAAATACCACCGGGAAGGCCCCCAAATGGAGGAGGCCGGACGGGGCTCCGGTCAGGTATACCTGACCGGAAGACTACTCTATATATATATATATATATATATATATATATATATATATATATACACACACACACACTTCATTCTTGTACATTTTTAGTAAATGGCCGATTGTAAACATTGACTGATAATATATTTACACATGCAACATTTGTGATGTGAGAATGATATGAAAATTTTCTTTATTTCTTAGAAATACATCATTGAACATAATTCTAGAGCTAATAATTAACATTATAAAGAGTTATTAATTAAAATAATTAATCAAAGTTTATTATCATTGACTAGAAAAGTCAAATATGAGTAATTACAAACAGATAGAGGTAGTATGATTTTTTAATAATAAACCGTCAAAGCTAACCATGTTTGTTTCAAAGAGTTAATTAATAATTTGGGGAAAAAGAATAAGTCTAACTCATTACTTGTGTGGACTTGGAGCCATAGTTCCATGGATGCCAGGTCTTCAAAACTTTCAAGTTCATAGCATCTAGAGAATAACGAGTAGCTGTAACGGGCACAACTGAGTCCACATCACCACTGCAACCAAAATATGAATGAATCAATACACACATGCATATATATAGACATACACACAGGCACAATACACACATGTGTTAGGATGTAATTCAATATTTCCAAATACTTTGTGAAATTCTAGAGAATTCTAGGACTATGTGGATATGAGTAGAATTCTCTAGAATATTGTGGAATTATCTAGAGAAATATAGTATTCTCTAGATGTGTGTATAATGTTATAGAATCTTCTAGAATACTCTAGTCTCTAGAGAAATGTAGAAATCTCTAGAAATGTGTAGAAGGTTGTAGAGTAGTCTAGAGTGTTCTAAATAAGTGTGGAGTCATCTAGATTCTTCAAGAAGATAATGGAAGCTTGTGGAGGCTCCATGAAAGAATCTAGAATGTAGAGAGGTGGGTGGAAGATTCTAGAGAGGGAATCCCTACCCCTTTGTGAGTAGTATAAATAAATGGTGTAGCCTTTCATTTGTGGTGTGAAAGAAAGGCTTCTCGTAAGTGAGGAAGAGTGAGTATTCCCAACTAGAAAGTGTGAAGTGAGATACCCGTTCATTTGTACACTCTCTTGTAAAATTCAATTATTTATTTAATACAAGAGTTTTTCTTAGCTAGTGATCCTGGTGAAGGTCGGGGTGTCGTGTTTTTCCCCAACAGTGGTATCAGAGCCAAGGTTCTCGGTGGTAGAGAAACGTGAGTATTTTTCTCAATAGAAAGATCTCGTGATAGTGTGATGGAATCAAACATGTCGAAGGTGTTTGAGCTCCCACTCTTTGATGGGAAGACCAACTTTACGCTGTGGCAGAATACGATTCAAGACCTATTGGTGCAGCAAGGTCTTGATCAAGCTTTAGATGAGGAGAAGCTTGCCTCCATGAGCGATAGAGAATGGAGCGTGATGCAGAGAAAGGCTATGAGTACAATTCGTTTGGCTCTTGCTCCCGAGATTAAGTTTAGTGTGTTGAAGGAGACAACACCAAAGGCGTTGTGGGACAAGCTCGGGGGAATCTATGCATCGAAGTCACTGACTAATCGATTATGCTTGAAGATGGAGTTGTACTCGCTCAAAATGGAGGAAGGAGGTAATCTTCATGATCACATAAACATGTTTAATCAACTAGTATGCCAACTAATGAATGCAGATGACAAGATCAAAGATGAGGAGCAAGCATTGTTATTATTAGCGTCACTACCGAAGTCCTACAAACCATTGGTTCAAACTCTACTTGTAGGAAGGACAACTCTCACACTAGATGAGGTGACGACAGCTTTGCGTGAGAGTGAGAGGATGTTAAATAACGACAATGTAAACACAAGTGGAGATCGCGTACTAGTTGTGGGAGAACGAGAACGAGAGCGAGGAAGAAACCTCTCAAGAGAGCAAGGTAACCCTAGATGGAGATCAAAGTCTCGGCCGCGCCAAGATCTAAGTGACATAGAGTTCTATTATTGTGGAAAAAAGGGTCACATTCAAGCGATATGTCATGAATTGAGGGAGGACTTGAAAAGTTTAGGGAGGCATCTCGAAGCAAGGATAATAGTGACTCCCATACCAATGTGGTCTGCGATGAAGATGATGGTGATGTTTACTTAGCAACAAGTGAAGAGGTTGCCAAATCTAAGTAGGTGATGGATAGCACTGCCTCAATGCACATATGTCGTGATCAAGCCATGTTTGACACCTTGAACACTAATGGAGAGTTCAATCACTTCAACTTAGCTAACGGCAAAAAGTTAAAGGTTGAAGGTTCTGGAAGCATAAAGATGGTGCTTCATAATGGTTCAAGCCACATTCTCCACAATGTGAGGTACGTGCCTTCGAGTAAAGCTAGTGTCATCTCGTTGGGTGTATTGACATTAGAGGGGTGTAAGTATTTTGGCACAAATAAGTGGTGCAAGGTGTTTAAGGGAAGATGCTTGCTCATGAGAGGACGGAAAAACGAGAAGAACGTTTGCTTCTTGGAAGGCAGTGCAGTGAAAAGAAGACGCGCTGGAGGAGTGAAGGAAAAGAAAGTCAAATTTTCGGAGATCACTGAAATATTTGGAAATATGAATTGAGGGAGGAATTGTTAGGATGTAATTCAATATTTTCAAATACTTTGTGAAATTCTAGAGAATTCTAGGACTATGTGGATATGAGTAGAATTCTCTAGAATATTGTGGAATTATCTAGAGAAATATAGTATTCTCTAGATGTGTGTAGAATGTTATAGATTGTTCTAGAATACTCTAGTCTCTAGAGAAATGTAGAAATCTCTAGAAATGTGTAGAAGGTTGTAGAGTAGTCTAGAGTGTTCTAAATAAGTGTGGAGTCATCTAGATTCTTCAAGAAGATAATGGAAGCTTGTGGAGGCTCCTTGAAAGAATCTAGAATGTAGAGAGGTGGGTGGAAGATTCTAGAGAGGGAATCCCTACCCCTTTGTGAGTAGTATAAATAGATGGTGTAGCCTTTCATTTGTGGTGTGAAAGAAAGGCTTCTCGTAAGTGAGGAAGAGTGAGTATTCCCAACTAGAAAGTGTGAAGTGAGATACCCGTTCATTTGTACACTCTCTTGTAAAATTCAATTATTTAATACAAGAGTTTTTCTTAGCTCGTGATCCTGGTGAAGGTCGGGGTGTCGTGTTTTTCCCCAACAACATGTGCATGCATAATATGTAGGTGTATGAGAATATAATCCAGAGTATAACTTAAAGAGGTGTTGAGTTTCAAAACATGACTATAGTTTTGTTTGAGTAATTGTCACACATCATTTTTTTATCAATATGGACAGTATAAGATCTTTAAGTTCTTCTCTCAAATTAACTTTATAAAATGAAACGACATGCCTTAATATGATATCATGCATATATAGGTTAAGTTTTGGTTTGACTATTTATTTAGTACCCGAAGGTTTAGGGCAACTAGTTTAGGGTTTATTTAGCTCATTTAATCACCTCAAAATGAGCAGCCCAACGTAGCTTAGATTGATGTAACATTTGTTGGACATCGGTATTGTATGAATTAATTAATAATGAATTTGATAAGTCCGTATTTAGTCACACATTTGATGCGTGTTGAGATCGGTTTTTGATAATTTTCCTAGCTTTAAGGTGTTACAAGTCTCAATTTTAGCTCAAGTTATGTTTATCAGGCGTTGGTTTGAGTTTTGTGTCATTTGGAGTCAAAATCAGGATTTTAGAGTTCGGCACCAGCGCTTGAGGAGAAATCGGGACGAGTTGAGAAGCATTTGAGATTGATTTGAGAGCTATGGAGGTCACCGGGGTGTTTACGATGAAGATTTGATGACAAAAGAGCTCTATGATTGGCTACGAGATCAAAAGAAGACGAATAGAGCTTGAAAACGACGATCAGGATGACCTTCTGTCAATCGTTCAAGCATATCTCTTTGTACAAAAATCCAAAGGACTCGATTCAAGTTGCATATGAAAGAAAACTTCAAGGACTACAAATCATAGGAAGACACCTTTGCGAGAATCTGAGAGAAAGAAGGTGAACACGGACGATGAAGTCGGATGACCGCTGTTGAGATTGTTGACTAATGTGATCAAGCTCGCATGGTGCATGCATACGTGGAATTTAGTTGTTTTAATTACTCTTTATTTGTTAAAGTTATTTTTTTGAATTACTCATAAGAGTTGGCTTAATTATAGGGAGTGGTTTAGCTTGTTGTTATCTTTAGTTTAAACGTGTGATTATGCCTAAAACTAAGGAGTCAGTTAAGGCACACACACAACACTTTCTTTATCATTTTGTAATGCCTATAAAGGCAAGTTCTTGTTTTTGGTTTATGAATGAGAGTTTGGTTATTCCATTTTCATTATTCTGAGTTTATAGCTTGCACCAACATTTGGTATCAGAGCTAAGGGTTATCCGAGGGCCTAAGAGTGAGGAAACACAACAAAATGAGTGGAACAATGCAGAATGCAAATGGTAATGGCAATGGGAGTTCTATCTCCCAATTGCCTATGTTCAAAGGTTCGAATTACCATTTTTGGAGTTTGAAGATGAAAACACTCTTCAAGTCTCAAGAGCTATGGAGCATTGTGGAGGATGTCTTTGAGGATAGTCATCCTGAAGACCCGGATCAAGCCCCAAGAGACAAGAGGAAGAAGGATGCCAAAGCTCTCTATTTCATCCAACAAGCCTTGGATGATGAAGTGTTTCCCAGAATTGCAGCCGCATCAACATCCAAGGAGGCTTGGAGCATCCTGAAAAAGGAGTACATGGGTGATAAGAAAGTCATTGAGGTAAGGCTACAATCCTTAAGGAGGGAATTTGAAAATCCAAAAATAAAGGACAAGGAATCAGTCCACGAGTACATCTCTAGGATCACACATGTTGTGCAACAAATGATATCCTATGGAGAGGAGGTTAAGGACAAACAAGTGGTTAGTAAGCTGCATAGAAGCCTTTCCAGAAAATATATCCTTCATCCACCTGGTTTCTGCCATGGAAGTATATACCTTTGAAGAGATCAAAGGATCACTGCAAGCCTATGAAGAAAGGGAGGTTAAAGAAGAAGAAAGGGAAGAAACTGCTTTTCAGGCCAAAGATAACTCCTCTCATCATGATAGATCCCAGCAATATTCAAGAGGGAGAGGGAGGGGTCGTGGTAGAGGAGGTGGCAGAGGCAGAGGTCGAGGTAAAGGTGGTAGGAGTTATACTCCTGACAAGAGGGAAGAATCTTCTGGGAATAACCACAAAAGCCCAATCAAGTGCTATTATTGCAATAAACTAGGCCACAAAGAAGCTTCATGTTGGAAGAAAGAAGAGGATAAAGGAGAAGGTAGACATGAAGGAAAGTCCAATTATGCTGAGCAAGAAAATCTTTTCCTTGCCCAACATAACTGTGACTTTGGTGCAAGTGTTGTCTGGTATGTGGATAGTGGGTGCTCTAATCATATGACCAGTTCAAATGACATGTTTCAGGAGTTCGATGCTTCCAAGAAGAGTGTGGTTAGGCTTGGTGATGAGAAGCAGCTGATGGTAGAGGGTCAGGGCACTATTGC